TGGCCCATATAGAAAGTTGTGCCAGGGTTCTCAGGAGACCTAATGAGGATGAGTTAATGAGCAGTAAGCAGTAGCAACCTGACAATTAAGTATCCATCCCACCCCAGGGAAAGGGAGGGGAAAGTGGGGTGTTACTACAAAAAGTACCCTGCTCCAAGGCTTCTTTACCAAAGATCAACTTTGTGCCAGACTGGGTACTAAACAATTTCATATCATTACTAATCCTCATGGCAACCCTTCTAATGCAGGTTATTACCTCTTTTTAAAATATGAGGAAGCTGAGGATTAGAGAGATTAAGTGACCTACGCCAAGGTCAAAAAGCCAGTAACCTACAAAGCCATGATTTGAATCCAGTTGTATCTGGCTCCAAAGCCTGTGATCTTTCTATTATGATATGCTAAGAGAGAAGAGTTAGATATAGGCTGTGGTTTAAATTCCAGAGGTATATGGCATTTGCATGATACAAAACGCTGGCTAGGTGGTCAGAGGCAAGATAACAAATATGAGAATCCAGAAATGCCAGTGGGTGATTCCCAAGGTTCCCAGACCAGAGGACAATCAATACTTACCTTTTTCCTTCTGGGTCCTACTGTCGGTCAGGCAAGCCTTGGCTGACCCCAGGGCTACCAGCCACCGCTGTCTCTCAGCCACACTTCTGGCCTTCAGGTAGAAATACTGCTCCCCAGGGATTATCAGGTCCATGCGTGTATTATCTACAGAATGAACTGGGAGCAAGGCAGAGGGAGGTCAGAAACCTAGAAGAGCCCTATCTGGGTAGCCTCCACCCCAACCAAATTCTTAAGCTCAACTGGTGCAAGTCACTAAAGGCTTCTTCCAAAGGAGGATGCTAGCTAGCCCTTACCACCTCCCCTAGTTTATCTCTTCCTCGATGCTTCTGCTGATGAAGAGGAAAAATCCTGGCTGGCTCCAACATATCACCAAGACTAAAAAAGAAGCACTCAATTCTCCTTATCGGAATACAGACAGAATCTCTCTTTTGGCTTGTGTATATAAAGTAATACTGCTCTGAGGCCAAAAAGGCTTGCATGCCAACAGTAAGGGTGCGCCTCTATCTTCTTGGGTTTATTGGAAAGCAATCAAGAACACAATTATTTCTCCTCTTCTACTGTTCTTCACAAGTTAGAGCAAAAGTGTGAGACCTTTGGGAAAAGAAATAAGAAAACCACACTCTCCTTCACCTCCCACCAGGCTGCAAAATACCCTTCTAATCTGTTTCTCTTCTAATCTGTTTCAGAGCCACATCTTCTCAGCATGTCTCAAGATGTCCCCAAACCAAGAAGTAAAGGCTATTTGCAGGTCTTTATGTGTTTGCTTGTTTTACGTATGTGGTGGTGGTGAGAAGGTGTGTGTATGTCCTGATCTAAGCACAGAAGTGTTAGACGATGCAGTAAAAAACCTAACTAAGCTTTGCACATAGTCACTGGCTTTAGGTGAGCAAGTGACTAAAAAATGAGCACTAGATGTATGGTGAAGCACACTGCTCTCATTTATTTTGACTACTTCTTCAACAACCTCCTTGTAAAAACTGGCTGCAGTTTTAGGTTTTATTTGCAAGGCTTTCTTTGGGACATGACACTGTGTATCTTTGTACCATAAGAATGTCAGAGAAAGACACACAGAGGCCAGTGCTTTTTTATTTTATGGGAGAGACAGAAAGAAAAAGAAAACCTGCAAATCTTTTGGTTTCTCACCTTGAATTTCACAGACTGCCATTTGGATGCTCCCTTTGCAACCTTTCCAGGCATCTTCAGGAGAATCATAATAGGATAATATCCCCCCACAGAGAAGGAACCATCTAGGCTGCCAACCTGTAAACAGAAGCAAAAGCATGGTCTCAATTACTGCCTGCATGGGAGGTGCCTCCCAGGACACAGGAATGGGACCTGACAAAGGAGGCTGGGTCCCAGCTCCAAGGAGCTTAAATTCCAGGGGAAATTCTAAGGGAAAGAAGTAGATTAGTAAATACCTGTATGCATGATCCCATTTTTTAAATTAAAAACAAACACCCACAGGGCCATAGATTTTTAGTCACATAAGGTATAGAAGAAGTCTGCAAGGATCAGGAACATAGGAATGATTCTCTAGTTAACAGGATTACTGATGATTTTTATTTCCTTTTCCTTTAATATGGTACTAGTAATCTCTGGTTTTTAATTTTTTTAAGATAAAAGATTATTGTCTCCTGGACATTGTTATCACACACTTGATCTCCTCTCCTCTGGTTAAGAAAGATTATCCCAAACTTAGAAATGAGGCAGAACATTATATTGCTCTGAAAGAGGACTTCAACCACCTCCATTTTGACCTCAGTCTATACTTTCTTAACTGATTAAGTTCGTCTTTCCCGCTTATCTCTGAACTCAGGCAAAAGACCCCACAGGCAAAGCATTCCCTGATAGGAACTGAAACCACTCCCTCAAGCATTAACCACTGCTCTGACTTCAGCAAGACCCTGCACAACTGACCCTAAGACAGTGATCGATCGACCTGACCTTTACTGCCCCCATTTTCCTTATCTAAACCCAGGAGTATTTTCAGCACTTTGGAGGCCATCTTTGAGACATTAGTCCGCTGACTTTTTGGTGTTGGTCTTCACTGAAATACATTATTTTCTTGTTTCACCACCACTCGTCTCTCTGTCTTTAGATTCTGTCAGCAGCGAGTGGCTGAACCTGGTCTGTGTGGGCCCCTCAATGAGCCAGGTGCTCTTGTGCCCCTGTGCCCTGGCTACAGCCCTTTCGACGTCATTCAGAGTTGCAGAGTGCTAATAAGCCTGTGTAGGGGCATATGAGCTGTAGGAGAAAAGAACTTTGATTTACTACTTAGTATTGATCCACTGAAATGAAATAATCTTAAAACATTCAAGGGCTTAACTACTTTTACTTTGGAGAATTTCAGGGGACACACCATATTCGGTTGAAATATACATCTTATCTAGTGCTCTTACCCAATCTATATTCTAGACAAACCAAACTTATTTTCTGCTTCTGGGCTGTTGCCTGAGCTGGATCTTCTTTCTAAAATGTCATCTCTGACTATTTCTGCATAAGCCTTGTCAGAGTCCTCAGTTGGATGTATATTTTTCTTTCTCTGAAATGCTATAGCCCTTTAGGGATACATTTTTCTGATGAGACTCTTCTGTGGCTGAGGCAGACAGAGAGAGGGCCAGTAGGAGCTTTGAGCACAGCCCTGTGCGCTGCTTAGGTACAGATGTCTGATGCCTGATTCACACAAATCAAGAGGCTTGAGACCCAAGAAGAGCTGTGCTTCAGGCCGGGTCAGAAAGCAGGGAAAGACCAATGTCCGGGCTCAGGCAGGCAGGAGAAGTTCCCTCTTTCTTAGCCTTTTTATTCTGTTTAGATCTTTGACTGATTGGATGAGATCCACTCACATTAGGGAAGGCAATCTACTTTACCAGTTCAGATGTCAATCCCATCAAGAAATACCCTCACAGGGCGCCTGGGTGGCTCAGTCGTTAAGCGTCTGCCTTCGGCTCAGGTCATGATCCCAGGGTCCTGGGATCGAGTCCCACATCGGGCTCCCTGCTCGGCGGGAAGCCTGCTTCTCCCTCTCCCACTCCCCCTGCTTGTGTCCCCTCTCTTGCTGTGTCTCTCTCTGTCAAATAAATAAAATCTTAAAAAAAAAAAAAAAGAAAAGAAAAGAAATACCCTCACAGACACACCCAGAAAGATGTCTGGCCAAATGTCCAGGCACCCCATGGCCCAGGCAAACTGACACATAAAATTAATCATCACATGGGCGCCTGGGTGGCTCAGTTGGTTAAGCGACTGCTTTCGGCTCAGGTCATGATCCTGGAGTCCCGGGATCGAGTCCCACATCGGGCTCCCTGCTCAGCGGGGAGTCTGCTTCTCCCTCTGACCCTCTTCCCTCTCGTGCTTTCTATCTCTCATTCTCTCTCTCTCTCAAATAAATAAATAAAATCTTTAAAAAAAAAAAATTAATCATCACACACCATCAATTTTAAGACATACCATTATTTTATGTAACACAAGGAAAAAAAAAACACCTGCCCATTAAGCAGTATGACATGGTGCTGATTCTAAGATGCTTCCTGATTTCAGTTGTTGAAATGTGAAAAAATATCTACAAATTGAAAAAAATGTGGCCCTAAATTAGGTTTATCTTACAGTAATCTGAAAAAAGTTAAAGAGCTCCCCGCCCCCCTTCCCCCCAACGAAGCACAGCTGCAGCTAAGTTTTGAAAGTAGCTGGTAAACCGTAATAACAACTGAACCACCACCTTCCCTATAATGGGTTCTACATTTACCTCGAAGTTACATATATCGTTATTTTATCCTATAGTTTTTAACTAGAAAAACCATGACCAAGAATAACTTTTCTTTAAAGCATAAAGTTACTGGATTTTCAGAAGGCACATTTAAGAGACCACAGAGGTCTCATTCCCATTATATGAAATTTACAGGCAGAGCAATGCAGAGTCTAGAGAGGGACTGGGACACACGCCTCTTTCATGATGTCCTGTCCTTGGAAGCTGAGATACAGCTCAAAAATAACTGTATGAGAAAAGCGGCAAGAATGAAGAGGCCATTAATCCATTTCCTGTTTTAAATTAATCTGCAGTTAGCTTGACTGATGTGATAGTTAATTTTATATATCAATTTTATGTATCATGATGGGCTGAGGGATGCCCAGACAGCTGATAAAACGCTATTTCTAGGTATGTCTGTGAGGGTCTCTCCGGCAGAGATTAGTTAGCATTTGACTCCGTGGACTGTGTGAAGACTGCCCTCACCATTGCAGGTGGGCACCCTCCAATCCACGAGGGCCTAAGTAGAACAAAAGGCAGAGGAATGGAGAATCTGTTCTCTCTTCGAGCTGAGACATCCATCTTCTCCTGCCTTAGGGCCCCGATGCACCTGGTTCTCCGGATTGTGGACCCAGGTCAGGATTTACACCATCTACGTCTCCAACTCTCAGGCCCTTGAACTCACACCGAATTGCATCACCGGCTTTCTTGGTTCTCTAGCTTGCCAACAGCACATCATGGGACTTCTCAGTCTCCATAACTGCGAGACACAATTCGTACAATAAAACCCTTCACGGATTATGTATGCATACACACATATATGTGTATATACATAATACATACACGATTCCGTATACTATCGGATCTGTTTTTCTAGAGAACCCTTACTAACACACTTGGAAATGATAAAATAATTCAAGGTAACAGAAGAGCAGATGAAAACTGTGGATGTAACCAGTCCCTGCTCTCTTAGATTACCATTAGATTAATCTTCCTGTCCAACCCCCACTCCTTTTTTTGGCCATTCTCTATTGGAGATGGAATGTGGTGTCAGCCAAACTCCCCACTTGGGAGGATTAGACAAGAAACTTCAATGAGCAGAGAAAAGTTTTAGCTTATTTAAGCTATCCCTGCCAGAGATGGGGTAGGGGAATAAAAGTATTTAAATGCTAACTTCACACACTGCATTATCCTGGATTATTTCACTACAGAAGGTAGAGTGGACATTTATTTTTGGCAACCTGGCATCCACCCTTCACATTTCTGTTACTGAAAATCTCCTTCTCCACACTCTATCCATGTAGTTGGGTGGGGCTGACCAGCTCCAGGGGGGACATGTGATTCAGGCTTAAATGGAGCTTCACATCCCCTGTCCTCAATGATACACTCCACAACAGGCAAGTGACCCAACCAAAGATAAACTTGGGACTGTTGCTGGGTCTGGACAAAGGCAGAAAGAAATGGAGACTCTCTCTTTTCTTTGGTCTTGCAGATGTTTGCCTGGAGCTGCCAGCACTCATTCTGCCATCACACGGGACCTAAACATGATTCACACATAAAGGGAATGCGTGTGGGAGGACTTGAGGGAGGCAGGGAAAGGATGCAAATCCAGATGACAGTTCTGAACACCATTCACAGTAAGACCATGTTATAACCATAGACCAGATACTCACTGAACTTTTCAGGTAAGTGAGCTTAAAAAAAAAAAAAAGTGAGCCAATAAATTATCTTTTTTTTTTACTTCAAGCCTGAGTTGGTTTTTTTCCTAAATAAAAGAATATTAAATATCACATGATCAACCTCACTAAATGTAGAAAAAGCGAAAGCACCTGACAGAATCTAACACCTTTCATAATAAAAACTCTCAACCAACTAGGAATAGAAGGGAACCTTTTCAACCTGATTAAGGCACCTAAAAAAACAAAACAAAACAAAACCCACAACTAACATCATACTAAATGACAAAAGACTGGATGTCCCCCCACCGACCCAGACAACACACAGATGCTTCCTCTCTACTTCTACTCAACCTTTTATTGGAGGTTCTAGCCAGGGCAATTAGGGTACAAAATGAAATAAAAGGTATCCAGATTAGAAGGGAAGAAACAAATCTAACTATTTGCAGCCACACTCTTGTATATTTCAAAACAAAACAAAGCAAAGCCTAAGGAGTCCAATAAAAAAGACTATTGGAATAAATAAGTTTAGCAACGTTGCAAGATAGAAGACCACTATACAGATATCAACTGTATTTCTATTACAGTTGCAATGAACTGAAAATGAAATTAAGTAGACAGTTCCTTTTATAACATCAAAGAGAATAATATATTTAGGAAAAAACTCAACAAAAGAAGTATAAAACTTATACTCTGAAAACTGTAAAACATTATTCAAAGAAATTAAAGATTTGAATATCATTATTTCAAAACTGTTACCAGCTTGTTCTTTTCTCACATAGTGCAATTATCTTTCTATACTTAATTGACAGCAACTGTTCGCAAAATTCACTTTTTTCAGCTCA